TCGGCCCCGCCTTGTGAGCTGTCCTGATCAAAACTAAGTTGTGAAAGAGTAAGAAAACCCGAGCCCACAGAAATCAAGCGATGGTGTAACATGAGGTGAGGCTCTTCTTCCCACAATATCTTACTTAAGCAATGCAGTCTCCACAAGCGCTTTTGCCAATATTTTTGCTCAAGAGTAAGCAATGCTATTTATTGCCTCTGTAGACCCGTGGAAAGATCCTGGACGCCGGTCGGCGTTGCTAGGTTCCGCCGCCTCCCCTCCCCCCCCCCCTTTTCGGAGGATGCGCGACGCGCTCGCGACGCGTCTTATGAACTGTTTTGCCCCAAACTTTCTCGGGGTGCCTCTTTCGCAGATGTCGGAAACGGGCGCAGGGGCGTCACATTATATACGTTTTGCTGGGGGGCCGAGACTCCAATCCGGATTTGACCCCCCCCCCCCCCAGAACTCCTCTGGGCTCACAATTTTGGGGACAAAATAAAGCATCATCGGGCAAAGGAAACAATCAAGCATATCCTCGAGCTGCAGTACAGGTACCTGAACATTTCACTTAGATCACGCTCGTTGTGTACCACATAGCACCATGTTGCGACTTTCATGCCAGCGTTATCAGACAAGGGCATAATTTTGCACCACCTCGGAAATGCACGAGCACTAGGATAGACGGAAGCAAGACGCATCGTAAGTCGTCAGGTATGTCTAACTAGCGGAAGAATTTCGCTGCGGAGCGTTTTGTGTGGTCACTGTGTACCTGCTCGTCATTTTCCGTTTGCGAATCTGGTTCCATGGCCCAAATCATAGAGCGCGGGAGGCGTACTATGGCGAAGATGACAACGAAAAAACTGCTCCGGAGCAAAATTTACGGGCTACTTTGATAGACCTGACAGTCCCCCACGGGTTTCGGTCCTATACATGCTGGTTTGTATACATTTCAATAATGGCAGTGGGCGAAGACGGACCATGAACTAAACACTGCCGCACTACATTACATGCACATATTCAAAATACAAGCACCGTCATGAAGTATTCGCCTAACGTTGGACTAAATATTGGGCCATAACTTTACTGAATTATTGATGGATATAAAGCAATATACTAGTGAAAAGAACGGTACGAACTGAATGATAAGGTATGACATGACTAAGACGACAAACATGTTAAGCTCGGAACGATTTTTTGCCGAACGCCTTCAGCCCGACAATTTTCACTCTAAAAGGCAAGTCTCGACCATGTTTTTGGAAGGTCCGACTATGCCACTGTGTTGGTCATGGATTGCACGAATATTGTTCGTCGCATTTCCGGACTACGGCCGTTCGGCGGAAAGTTGAAAGGGCTGGAGCAGGTGTCAATATTCAGTTCCGAGATGTCTGATTACTGAGCCCGATAAGTGACCGGTTAGTCATACGTAACTGGAAATTGCCGCATCGGAAAAGCACGCGCCACATTCTCCAAAAGAAAATAATGAAGCCGAACGGACACTTTTGATATTGAGCTAAAACGACATAGTGCATGGAATATACAATGAGACGCACACCTGCACTTAATGTTGCTCGACTTCCGCCACCGCTGCAAAACACCGACTGTCAGCAGGGCGCGCAGCCATTACAGAGACAGCCCAGACCAGCAATACATGACCTCACCGGCGCCAGGCCATCAAACGCTGTCATCGCAGCACCTAATCCCGGCCGGGTGAGGGCGGCACATGACCTGATCCGGCCCACAGGCTGTTTATGGATTACCATCCAGTGACGTAGCGTTGCAACGGGGCGCTTACTGTTTGTAACACCGAGTGCAACTTTTTCATCGCTTCCGGAGAAGCCTTCACAGGAAATTGTGATGAACCCGACGATAAACGATTGGTTTCGTTCCTGCTCTCCCCAGTTGCCGTGCACTTTAGATTGGGAATAAATTGGACCGTTGTCTCATCTTGTCAAGGTGAAGATTTTCTTCGCCTTGCCAACTCTGTCAAATGATATGCTCGCCTATGAATGCTGGTAAGTGGTAAGCCCTCCATGTCATATAACGTTATGTTTTCATCGCCGCAACCTTACAAGAAGCTCAAGCTGTCCTCGACACGCCAGCGTACAGTTCCTTATCACACAGGTAAAACGATAAGGAAAAAGTGAGATAGATAGATCAAGACTGTCACACGTGAACAACTTTACCAAGCAAACACGTAGAGGGAGGCAAAGTCAAATATGAGGACGCCAAAGGGCCTTCCAATTCATGCACCTTTCCGTTTGCCCTGCCTTTACATAACCTGCAGTGTGACAGCTTCTGTGCACCCTTGATGCACTGCCAACTGCCAGTTGGTTGCCTAAACTGGCCACGTTTAAAGTGGACAGGTGATAGACTTCCAGTTGACTGCCTAAACTGACCAAGTTTGAAGTGGATCGGTGATAGATTTCCAGTTGATAGCCTAAACTGGCCACGTTTGGAGTGGATCGGTGATGGACTTCCAGTTGATTGCCTAAACTGGCCACGTTTGAAGTGGATCGGTGGTAGACTTTTCACTCGTGTGTATAAATATCCGAAGAAGTATTCCGACCCAGTCTGTATTTATCTTGCAAAAGCGTTATTTTGCGACATATACTAACGGAATCATATAACAATTTCAAAATTAATTGCAGAACTGTCTGATAACTTCCAAACGTCTATTTCACCAACAACGCTGAATACTCTTAATTGACTATCATGATTGGCGTCGAATCAGTCCAAATAAAGAGGCTTCGAAGACCCTACAAAGAGCACCAAAGTATACAAAAAAACATGCATCATTCTCATCCGTGTTCAAGGATTCAGATATTGACAAAATCGCCCTCCTAGGTAACCTTAATCAAACCGTAAACATACAGCAAACGGCCTGTGTGTGCACCGAAACAACTTAAAAGCAACTATTTTCCTATTACTTATCACTCTTGTGAAACACCAGAACAATCCTTGGTTTGCTAATCCAATCGTCGCACGGATGCCACCAACGACACCGACCAGCTAAATATTTCTGCTTGCAGTGGAAGGGGTCGAACGTCAGGGCTGCGGGCGTTTGCAATGCCTCCCATCAGTCGGCTCTTTATGGCAGGATTTTCTGTGGTGGAGGTGGGCCCAGACGTCCACGTGACAGGCCTCGGGCTCGGAATACCTGTTTCAAGCGGGACATAGTGCAAGGTTTATATCCTTCGAAGCTTCCATTGAAAGCTGCTGGAGGAGCGCCATAATTCATATCTCCAAACTTGTTGGAGGAGTGTCAAAATCCACATCTCCAAGCTATGCCGCCGAATCAGACTTGCATGCGCCGTGACATGCATTGTTCTGGCGTGTTGTTTTTGACAACTGAACAAAAATGGTTCTTTAGTGAAAACGCTGAGAGGCCAGTTGGGATTGGCGAATAATGAATGCTGAAAGTTTTTTTTTTGCGCGGGGTTGCCATTGCCACCTGCTTTGCGGTTTCTGGGACTAGCTTAGCCTTCGTCAGAGATCGCACAACCCCTTCCAATCATACGACAAAGTTGCATCAATTGGCACTCGCGCGCCCGGCGACGGCAGCACTGTGCAAGAACCCAGAATGCGTGCGACATTGGCTGACCCGATTGGCACGGGAATGCTGGCTGGCATCTGGCCAGAGGGGCTCGACCCGACCCGGGGGGGGGGGGGGGGGGGGGGAGCGCCGTCTTTCGTTGTCACCCCAACATCACGCGATGCACATACGCGTCTTTCCCGACACTGATATTCATGAAAGGCACCACTACTGCACACTCGTCGCTTCTTTGGTCCATACTTAGGTAGACGCTTTGCACCAATATTAAAGATCACGGGAAGGCAAGCAGTGAAAAGAAGATGCCGCAACTTTCAGGGGATTCGCAGGAACAATTTGTCGGTAGACCTAACCCTTTCCACGTGTCGTGTCTCGGTTCAGCTCGTGCGAGTTCCATGCCTCCGTTACAAGCATGGCACGTCTTCTGGTAGGAAACCGCTTGTATATTCCCAGATCATATTTGCCGGTATGTGACCCCGTTATGAGCGCTCGAGTTGATATTTGTGCACGTGCTGGCATGTTCGTCGAAGGCACTCAACACGATAAGATGCGCTGTTGCGGTGCAGACCTTCGGGCTAAGCCCAGCTTCGATTCGATCTCTCAGTACTCGGATCCAGGTAGGTCAAGAAGTCCTGACGTTAGACTCTGATAAGGTCATGGATTTACTGAGATACACTTTAGTTGGTCAGTCGAAAATACGACGGATGTCGCACTTCAAGGCCATAACCACACAAAAGTACACTACAGTTCGTATGCAAAATATCGGTGGGGACACATATTGTCACCAAAACTTCACATGGGTAAAGAACAAACGGTAAAGAAAAGTACGGCGCCAATATTAATTTGCTTTGACGCGGCCTTAAAACCAAACGAACTAACAAAGGATAGTACGCAAGGTATCGTGAGCAGAGAACAGATGCAATACGCGTACCTTCTGTAAGCGTATCCAAGACTAAAATGCGTATCTGTCTTCAGAAAGACAGAGGTAAGAGAAAATTGGCATTTTACGCAAAGGGCAAACAAGCTTCCAAGAATTTGGTGGAGGGGAAGGAAGAGTTGCTACCTATTCCCCTCTGCCCTGTCCTGCACCAGACTGGCCCTAGGCTGTGCAGAGCATGGTGCATGCAGTCCACGCATTTGTGCCACCTGTATGCACTGATGAAAAACAAATCTCAGTGACATGATGGTGGCCATACATTTTGACAAACTGATCTGACAGCAAAATATCATCATCTTTGTTCCATGTAAAAAGAGCAAATACTACCCCTGCATCTGACCATGCAGGTATTTTTTTCTTCAAGATAGCTGAAAAATGAAAAAAATGGTTATGATAATATTTTCCAATTCATCAGACATAGAAAACATTTCCAGCAGTTGCCATGGTGACATCAATCTGCTATAGCATCAATGTGCATACTTGACGTAGCCATATAGCTATTTCACCAAATGAAATGAATTATCAGTTACTCACCCTCCATCCCAGATTTTCGAAGAATGTGCTGAGCCTGGTTTGTCCTGTGGTTTTGCCTCCACAAGGGCCTGCAAAAGAGGATCTCCATTAAAATAAAGATGACAGAATTCATGTAGTGCCAAGTAATCATTAATACACACCAGGATACTTGGCTGTACAATTTCAACCCATAGATCTGTACTTATAGTTACCATCAAATTACTTCAAAGCTTAGGTGAGTGACAACTTACATGGTGCATGAAGGCTTAAAATAGCAAATTATCCTTCTTCAAAATAGAAACAACTTGTCTGCATGGAAAGCAACTGCTCTTTGGATCATCTAAAATCAAAAAAGCACCATAAGAAATGTTTCCTTCACTGAGCAGCAATAGTCATACAGCATTTTAGGCATGCTTAACACTTTTGCCAAATAAGTGCCAGAATGCTACACCATCAATCATGCTTCTTCAATCTCAAGTCATATAGGAACAGAATATGCACTTATTGTGTTGCCCCTACAGACAGGAATCAAGAGCATGAGGTACTAAGTCTAAGAGGCCATACCTAGCCATCATTTAGGCACACAACTTCACTGAACTGTGATAGACACCCAATTTGGATCACCAAACAACCCAAACATTACAATGAAAATGGCTAAGAACACCATAAGTTGATGGGGGCTGGCTGCAAGACGAACTGACACTATCAGAGATGTGGAGGGAGACGTTCAGACCATACAGAATTTAACAGCCCCTTGGTCTGTTGACAGGCAGACAACTGTAAAAATGAGACGATGCATCCATTGCTATACATGCATCAGTTTCTCGTGCATTACCTCCCACTGCAATACAGACAAAACAAACAAGACGTTCTCCACCGGCGCCGCAGCGCCGGGTAAGTCTCCTGCGCACAAAACGCTTACCGCCGGTGAGCACCACTTTGTACACGACTCGATTCATCTTGTTAATGTCGCCTCTTAGGACGGACGTGCTGTCACCGCATGACGTTGCCCGGTAGTGCCTGAGGAATCCTCGGGCGCACGAGGCCGACACGGCTCCGCGGAGGAGACACCCTCCCCACTTCACCGCCGCAGCCGCCATCGTTTTCGAACGACCTGACCTACCATCTAGTGGCCACAATAGAACTTTAGCTGCTATCAAAAACCCGGCGGCGACTATCCAGGTGGCAGCACGTAATAGCGGATGGTGGCGTCATCTGAGCTAGTTTGTTTTCAAAATGAAGTAGTGACATTTCATGTATCATGTTATGAATTTTGGTTCATCGACCATTGCACTGTTGCTGAATTTCATTAGAAGTTGTCTTCATGGTGACCAGTGGCGCCTCATGCTTTTGGGGCGCTCGTTGGTATTGCTACCTGTACCGTTCCGCTGCCTGTCAAGCTTTCCTCTAAGTTTCACACCCTCGATGATCCGACATCTGGCCGTTTGCAAGTTAGGGCATTGGTTCAATTTTCATAATGCATTTTTTACAACAAGGCAACTGCAGTATCGTGCCCCGTCCGCCCCGTGCCTGACAGGGCGGCTCGTGGTGGGTCGCGGCAATTGCCCGGTCAGGGCCACGAAGGCATAGCTTGCGGCGCCATACGAACAATGGCTTCGGGCGGGCGTGATGCGGGAGATAGGAGTCAGGACTGGGCTCGCGTACCGAGAAGCCTGATTCGTTTTGAGTTCTGTTAGTAAAGGCGACGCAGGTCTGATTACCAACGGACTATGTGGAGTCGGAGCGGCGGAGAGAGGTGAAGCACTGCAAGTAGATAACGCACCGGTCCAAAAACTAAACTGGCATTTACATAGGTAGCAAGCCGGTCAAAAAGGGAAGCAAACATCAGTCGCAAACGCACAAGGTAGAACCAATGCCTGAACTGTGGCACATACCGGGGAAGGCCTAAAAATCCCCGGTTAACAGTGCCCATAGGCAAGTGCATCTCATCCCGGCTAATGCGGAACAAAATTTTAATGTCCTTTCATGCCATCCGCGTTCGTGTCCATAGCAGTGTGTTCGGATCCTCTGCGGCACTGGAGAAAGAACGAGGCTTATGGCCTAAAGACTTGGCCGTCTAAAGCGCTTCCACCGTCGAAAAAATGGTCGAGTAGGTCAACCGGCCCGGTGCCGAATGAGCGGTCAAAACCCTAGTCGCTGCGTTTCCCGAAATTGTTAGGCGAGTGGGCCGGTGTGGACCTGGTAAACCGTAATATGTCGAGTTTTATGGCTATGCAAAAGTTTTAGCACGCGCCCGGACGGCCGGATAGGTGACGCCCACCCTTCTCTCGGGTGGGCGTCAATTTGACTCCCTCAGATCTCGGGAACAAGGAGGGCTAGAGGCACCAAATTCACAGGGCGTGTCTATCTGTATGCAAACTCGCTTTGGTCAAGGTTTAAGGTTCTTAGGTCGTGACCTTGATTCAAATAAGGTCAAACAAGGTGAAACACCAAGCTGGTCTCCAAGTGCCCACAGAACCTGATCTAAGCCAAAGTTCATACGCTCATTTAAGATCAGTAATATTGTTTGACCTTTCAAAGGCCATAGTGACCAAAATCATGCAAGGCCGCTTTGAGTTTTGCATTTTAATAAGTCGCAAATATTACGCTAGGCTGATTGCTCTTAAAACCAAAGTGTTGATCTGGGTCATTTTAGGTCAGTAGCCTTTCCTAACCTCTAAGAAGCTCATGGAAGATGCGTAGTGCGGTTCCTGGTATCAATAACCTCAAAATGAGAACCAAAAACTGCCGCATACAGAGGCCCTAGAGTAATGGAACAGGTTGATTTGACCTTGGTCTGACCTTCATGCCTAACCCTAAGTCAATGAAATTGGTTCATTCAATGGTCGTATTGCATAAGAAAGCATCTCAGAGATGCATGGCTTCGTCCAACACTCCATTGTTGCATTAGATTGAGCGATTCCCTAGAAATTGACTTCGCGAAATCCATGGCCTTACTTTGACCTGCCATAGGGCTGCGACCTTACAAGGTGCATCCAAATTTTCTGTGCCAAACGATTTGCCATCAAGTTATCTATAACTATGAAAAATTTTGTGCCGTTGCACCGTGCCCCTCAAAAACCATTCCGGAAAGCCTTCGGAGGGGTCAAATTGACCCCCCCCCCTCTCCCAACCTAGCGCGTGTTGAGACGCCGCGTTAGCGACACCTTGCCGCTCGTTGGCTGTAAAAAACGAGTTGTGGAGGGAAGTCCCTGGGCATTATTATAGAGGTCTCTTAGAAATTAGTTTCTTAGCGCCTGCCATCCAGGAGCGGCGCCACATCGGGGAGACAATGGGTTAATACCATCCAAGACCGAGGGCCAACGGGGCGATCGCCTCCTCCCCTCCCCCTGAAACTTAAGAGAGCCCCGAGAGAGCTCCAGTCCGACCGAAGAGACGCATGCATTTAACAAAAAATACGTAAACATTGATGTACTTGGACCTCCAGGAAGGATAGCAACTAAACAACGGACGAGAATTGTCAACAATCCTGCTATCTGAGCCAGTGAGACTTGAGACCGGCCGCTAAGGAGCCTTCTCATTCCGTGATGCTTTGTCGATTATCAATCATTTTCAGCAGATGGGGACCTAGGACTAAGACAACGCCCACCAAAAATCCCCAAACTGGAAAACTGGTAAAAAAGTCAAAAGTCAAAAGCCATTGACAATACGCAAACCGCCAAAATTGGCTGCAGGCAACCCCATTCTCCATGCCTGAGGGATCTGACAAGTGTTTTGACCGATCTGACCTGACTGAAGGTAAAATAGAAAAGTCTTTTGAAACATCTTTTGGAAAGGAAAGTTGATCGCCTATGACGGATCGATCGGTGAGGGCTTCATGGCCATCGGTCCCATAGGATTAGAGCGTGGGTTTTCTGCAAGCCTATTTTCCGGTCGCATTTTTTTCGCTTTTGATGACCCTCGATCTGACTGAAAGTCACTATCCTCGCGAAAGGATGGACAATCGACAAAGCGGCATCGAATGGTGAAGATTACGTGGCATTCGGTCGGAGCGTCGGGGTAGGCGTGGGGTTCGCCCATCGTCTCGTTCTTGCCACAAGAAAGTGCCACCAGAATAATTGAAAGACCCAAGGGCAGGCAAGAAAAGGAAGAACCTCTTGGATGCTTGGAACAGTCGCACTTAGAGACCTGTCCTGGATCTCATGAAAGTTGCTCTTCCGGGGGATTTTCTCTCCACTTTGCATTTGCAGCAGCTATGTAATCACCTGATTATCGATCTTTTTTCTCTACATATTCTCGTCCTCTGTGTAGTCTTCGCATATAGACACTTACTCCTTCATACTCCAGCGCTCGTGCCTGGTGCGCTTGCGACGGGGCGCACCCTGCGTGCGGGCAGTGTTCCTGGGTGGCGAGCTCGAGCGGGCTGGGTTCCGGAGCGCCTGTGGACTTGACTGGCTCGGCATCCGCACCACGTGCGGTGTGGAATACGCGACAGCTTGGTTTGGACCATTGAGTGAGGTGCGCCGGCTCATCTATGGTATGACTGGCGCGTAGGACTCCTGGCGGTGGGGCCTGGCGTCCCGCTCGCTTGCCCTGACTCGCCGATGACAATTCACGCGTCAGAGGTGGCACTGCCGCGCTGCTGGTCAACGATGCACGGGGCTTCAACGGTGGAGCTTTGAGCTCCGACGACCGCGACTGGTGCAACGGCGGAAACGGAGCTGGCCGGTGCTGACAGGCCGCCGCTGGTGCAACGGCGGAAACGAGAGCTGGCCGGTGCTGACAGGCCGCGACTGGTGCAACGGCGGAAACGGGAGCTGACTGGTGCTGACAAACTTAACAGGCGGGTTCAGGTGCGCTGATTGAGCGGGTTCAGGTGCGCTGATTGAGCGGGTTCAGGTGCGCCGATTGAGTGGGTTCAGGTGCGCGTTTGAGCAAGTTCAGGTGCGCTGATTGAGCAGATTCAGGCGTACCGACCGGCTGAGCTGACTGCTCCCTCGACCGACCTCGACCCTTCAGTGCGGCATGATGGGATGACTCCACCAGAACTGTCCACTAAATCGCGTAGGCTCATCGCCGTCGTTTCCGTCTGTTGCTAGTGCGGCCGTTGCTGACATAATGGCATGGCACGGCAGGAGATCGTGCGTGGACGCCTGGCGCTCGCCTGACGCTCGTGGCGTGGTGGCGCTGGCCTCGGTAGACTGCTGTAAATACCTCTGGGCTCACCTAATGATGGCGATGACGGTGCGCTGGCACCTTGACACGTCGACCGGCTGACGTGATGCCGTTTGACTGCACCAGTCACGCCGGTAAGGCGGTCACGGGGACCTAGCCGCTGCGCTTCAGACGGCTTCGCTGTCCTGACCCGCTCGGCGGGGCCCGGCCTTCTATGCTGTGCTCGCCTGGTGCCGCGGGATGTGCGTGTGTTACACGCCAGAAGGTCTCAAGCCGCGCGTCGTTTGAGGCACCGCTGCACGCCGGCCCAATGTGACGCGCGTGAGGGGACGTGGGAAGCTCGTGAGCACCGTGAGTAGCTCGTGAGTATGTCGTTTGTACCGGTGCTTAGCGAGGGTAAAAACAACGGCGCCGGTGTCGCCCTCTTGACGACGATGACGATGACGCTGCCTCGGTTGCCCCGGCTCATCGCCCCTCTCCTCCCTCCCTCCCTCTCTCTCTCTCTCTCTCTCTCTCTCCTCTCTCTCTCTCTCCTCTCTCTCTCTCTCTCCTCTCTCTCTCCCTCTCTCTCTCTCTCCTCTTCATCTCTCTCTCGCTCTCCCTCTCTCTCTCTCTCCTCTCTCTCTCTCCTCTCTCTCTCTCTCCTCTCTCTCTCTCTCTCTCTCTCTCTCTCTCTCATCTCTCTCTTCTCTATCTCTCTCTCTCTCGCTTCTCTCTCTCTCTCTCTCCTTCTCTCTCTCTCTCTCTCTCTCTCTCTCTCTCTCTCTCTCTCTCTCTCTCTCTCTCTCTCTCTCTCTCTCTCTCTCTCTCTCTCTCTCTCTCTCTCTCTATCTCTCTCTCTCTCTCTCTCTCTCTCTCTCTCTCTCTATCTTCTCTCTCTCTCTCTCTCTCTCTCTCTCTCCTCTTCTCCTCTCTCTCTCTCTCTCTCTCTCTCTCTCTCTCTCTCTCTCCTCTCTCTCTCTCTC